GGAGATATTGTCTATAAAACCCCAAAGGCTTTGCTTGGACTGGACCAGAAAAAGAAGGTGGCAGAGCTGATGGGGCAGGGGGGGTGTGTCTGTGCCCTCTCCTGCCTCTAAACATTTCCAAAGGCAGCACGAGCATTTGCCTGTGCCCATGGAAGAGGGTTCCTGCAGCATCACGAGATCACCGCAGCATCCTCTGCAGTTTCCCAGTCACCTGGCAAGGGATGCAAAGAAAATTTAGGCTTGGAGCCTTTGCCAGTGACTCGCTGCCCTCACTGTTTGCCCTGAGGGTGGCTGCTCTGGACTGGCCCAGCAGCTCCAGAGCTTACACAGCTGTGCTGGGATGGTCCCAATGCTATACCTTGTGGAGGGGGCCTTTGTGGCTCTGGGGGAGAGGCCCTTGCTGCAGAGAGGGTTAGGAAGGACTTTGTGGTGATTCACACACATCTTTCAAAACAGGCTGGGGAGGGTAAAGAGGGGAGTGCAGATGGCCACCCCATTCTCTGATGTGGCCCTTGGCAGGGACCAGCCCTACCTGCAAAACAGGGAGGAAAAGAAGGATGGGGTGAGCCACAGGAAGCCTGGGGGCTGGATCTTGTATCAGCTAAATCACCAGGATTCCCTCCAAATTGGCTGGGCAGCTGTGTCAGTGCCCAAGCCCAGGGGCTCTGTGGGTTGCAGGGGAGAACCTGAGTGCCCGGCTGTCCTATTCATTATTCCTAAAGCAGGACTGATGTGTGCTGGGTTAGTGGTCACAGATATGTGGGGTTTGGGTATTTTTAATTAGCTAATGCTGACTGACTTGCCTTCTGACGTTGGAGCCTTTGTCATGAAAAGGCAACAAAACCACAGGTTCCTGAAACGGGGAATACATGCGGGGTGAGTCACTGCCCCAGACTTGGTCTAGCTCACTCAGGATTTTTTTTTTTAATCAGATGGAAAAAGGACATATTAATACCTTTTTGTTGACACTTTAATGTGTCTCTGCATTTGCCTGTTTGAGTAAACAAGTTGATGTTGGTAATCAGTCATTTGTAGAAATGTTAATGCAGGGCAGGCCTGGGAGGGATGGAGCACTCAGTTTTCAAACTAGTGCAGAGCTGCTAAGAGAGCAAATTCTTCCATTTGGATCAGCAGCAAATTCCAGCTCTGTTTCTGTTGGAAGTGTTCAAGCGCCTGTCAGGAAATATTTGGTTGTCATGTGCTCTCAAATTTGAATTAATCCTCCAACTTTCAAAATGTGCAAATATCTGAATGCCCCCCTTCCATCAAGTATCACTGATGCTCTATATAGGATGCAGCTCCCAGGGAAAAGTCTTGGGAAATTTTTTTTTTTACTGTGTTTGAGTGTTTTTAAGTTGCTGTCTGAGCAGTTAATCCACTCAAATGTCCTGGTTAGCTTCTGGCACTCGTGCTGGAAGTGCTGAGGCCGCAGTGGAGGCATCCCTCCAGTGACAGCCCCTGCGATGGCATGTCCCCAGGTGGTTTACAGCTGTCAAAACATGGGCTGGGACAGCTTTCCTTGACCTGCCCGTGTTGCAGTTCTGTCTGGAGAGCAAATAAACTAACCCCAATTCAGTGACTGCAGTGTGTTTAGGAGCTGTAAAATTTGTTTGCACAGAAACTTTATACAGCCCCTCTCGGGGAAGGGAGTTGATATTCCAAAACCTGAGACACACTTTAAACAGCTCTGATCTGTATCACAAGTTAAGTCTGCACTGTCTGCCAGCCACGCTCCTTTGGATAGGTGCTTTTGGTGCATCTGTGTATTACAGAGCTGCCCTTGCTTTTCTTCTGTGTGGTGAGGGATGAAGGCAGAAACAAAAGGGATCTGGAGCAAGACTCTGTGTGTATTGACCCATGGACCATCAGCCACTGCACTAAAACGAGTGTGAAATCACTAGCTCACTTGTGTCTCCTCTTTCCCCCTTATTCTCTCTTCCTCCCTCTAAAAGTCTCTGGTTGTCAATGCAAGCCCTGGCAGAGGTTTTGCTCACAGCAGGAGTGTGACGTGGTGAGGCGTGAGCAGTGTGGTGTGTCCCACAGGGCTTCGAGTGAGGCAGCTGATGTGTGATCCCTATGCCACCGAGATAAAAGGGCTTTTTATGTTCCAGAGGACAAAGCCTCTTGTTTAAAAATGCAACTGAATGAAAAACACGATTCTGAATGCCCTAGACTCAGCTATTAAAAACAAACAAACATAACCCCCCCAACCAAAAAAAAAAGAAAAAAAAGAAAAAAAAGAAAAGGTCCCCTGACCCCCAGTCCAGTGTGCCAATGATGGTGTAATGGCTCCATTGCAGAAAAGCTCTGTACAATTGCTTTGGGAGCTTGTAACTTTGTGGCCCACTAACCTTTTCATAGACTGTTTTGTTAAATCATAACATCCTTTCCCCTTTCCAGACAGCCCGATCAAGGTCAGGTATCTGCTTTTTCTCTGTTGGTTCAAATTCTCCCTCCATCTTCTCAAGCAAAAAAATGGAAGGAAGAGGAATATGAAAACGGAGAGGACTTCTTTTATGTACTGACTGAGCTCAACAACCTAGGAAGGGAAAAACAATTTAAGAAACACACAAACAACTGCAGGGCATATCCAGAGTGTGATGTTTCCCTGATAAAGTCAAACAGATCAGTTTTTTTAAAAGCTCTCAGCTTATAGTGGTGTTTGCTGCTTCTTTTGGTGTTAAAGATTTTAGAGATAGTCAGCAGCAAATTAAATTCCAATTAAGTGGCTAGATAATGATGCTTCGGGAAATCCCTTTTTTAGTGAAATCCTCATGGTTTGAAAATTAATTAGTGCATATTAGGATTAGGAAGAAGGCAGAATTTGTGGAGGAGAGTTGGCTGAATTTTCAGTCTGTAGCTCAGCCTCACCTGCCTGGCAGCTCATGCCTGTGGAGCCAAAACTGGCTCTGTTCTTGGTAGTGTTCCCCAAGTGTTTCTGCCAGTTGTGAAATCCACCCTCTGTAACGTGCAACAAGCCTGCTCAGAGCTGATTTTCTTGCTGAGCAACTCCTTTATCCCCTGGAAATAGCAGCCAGGTTCTAGTGCCACTATGGCTCAGGCTGCTGGGGCACTCGTGGGAGTGCTGCTGGGAAGGGGCTGCTCCAGGAATGGGAATAGATCCCAGACTGGACATTAAACAAGACAAGCATTGCTGCACAAAGCATTCCTGCATCTGGCAAGGACCTTCATGGTAGTTTTGCCTTGGTCAAGTAGCCTAACTTGTACTCTGTGAGACAGTATAAAAAACTTTCTGTGCTCTTTTTCTTAACTCTGTCAGTCTGATGCAGCTTTGCTGTGGTTCCTCCCCTGCCCTATTCTTTCATCTTGAGCCCAGCAATGAAGTTGGTTGTCTTGTTGTTGGTGCCTTTTACTGTTCATCTTGTTGTGTCTGCTGGCAGCTCTGCAGATGCTAGGAGGTGGGGTCTGCTGTGCTTTCCTTCATGTCTCTGCCCAGTGATGCAATTTCTTGTTGACTTTCTCTTCTGCTAGCACCTGTTGGAGCTGCTTTCCCAGGCTGCCACACCTGCCCGTCACTCTCATCTCTAACAACTTCATTCTTTCCAGACTGAGTGAAGTGTTACAGAAAATGAATATTTACAGCTACAGGCAAACTTGTGTTCTTAAGCTAACCAGTGCTTGTTAAGGCAGCTGGGAGCCTCAAACAAAAGAGGGTTGCTAATCAGAGTACAGGCATTTGTGAAACTGAGCCTCCTGTTGCTTGAGCCTCGAGTCAGAGCCAGCCTGTTCAGCATCTTGCCTTCTGACAGTCTGTAAAACTCAATCCACCCCTCATCCTTTTGCTTACAAAGGAGGAGGCACCTGTGTCTGTTCCCATAGGCAGAGGAGGAACCTTTTATTTCTCAACTTCAGGGTTTGTAGCTAACAAAGTGGGAGTTGGAAATCTTGGGATGCAAATCTCATTTGAAGTTTCACCTGAGCTTGCCAAAACCCCCTTTTATACAGACCATGAGCTAGAGCTAGCAGAGGTGCTAGAAAGTGCTTATCAGTGCCTTTTTGTTCACACACAGGGATTGCCCCTGTGTGCATTGATGCGTCTATCTGTGCTCTCTCATGGTCATATCAGCCAGAGCACCAACAGGCCATCTTATGTTCTGTCACGAATGTCGTGGGAAGGGGACACAGGCAGGTGACTGGTTTTCTCCCATCCCTATGGTGATGCCTCCTGTCCAGGCTGGCTGGGTGGCACCTAATCAGTGCTTGGAAAGAAGGATGATAGCAGATGGGTGGAGGAACTCTATGCTTCATCCTCTCTGTTTCTTAAACACCATGCAGATCTGATCAAAGCAGAGTTTCTGCGTACTCGGGGTTTCAGCGTGACTGGTGCCTGCTGTTCTGTGCTTGCTCACAGTGCTCCTTGCTCAGGAGGTTGAGGGGTTCAGTGGCTGTGCAAAACAGCTTGTTCTTTACATGTTTTTTTTTGAGACTGGCTCTGGGGAAAGAGGCAGGTGTTTATTCAAACAGCTTTCTTGCAGAAAAGCAAACTCTTTCAGTTTTGCAAACAGTATCAGGTATACTACTTTGTGCCAAAAGACCCTTTGCAGGTACTGCTCAGAATCTTTTTTATTTGGGTTTGGTAGCTGTGTGCTCTCAGGGGAACAGACAGGCAAGCAGAGCATTGACTATCTCTTGCATTAATATTATAAGTCTGGATTCTGGTTTTGTTCAAAGTTGTGGAAAATCCCTGGAGATGTGAGCTTTTCTGACCTACAGAATACACTGGCAAGCGGGTATCTTAATGTGTGCAGAACAGCATAGCTGTAAAATAATACACAGAGCTAAATATTAACAAGGCTAATGGGATTTTTGACTTGTTAAGGAGTGTATTTCCCACCTCTGAGTTTCACACATCTGTTTTCTTAGTGGAAAGATAAATGTGGTTCCGAGAACTGTAGTGACAGATTGTTGCTATGCTGCTGTTTGAAACTGTATGTTACTGAATGCAGGCTGGTTTCACACGCTGTTCTTTTTCTCTTTAGGTACTCCCTAAGTTAATGAGATGGCCAACACCATGCAAATCTCCAAAGATGAGCTGGAGGAACTCAAGGAAGCTTTTGCCAAAGTTGGTAAGTCACAGTGAGGAGGGCACCTTGCTCCTGACAGCTGTACATTTGAAGTGGATTTTCCCCACCTCTGCGAGCAGCAGTGGCAGCAGGATGTGGGCATTCTGCTGCTCTCGTGATCGTCTCAGTGCCAAGGAGTCCCTTGGCAACCTTGTTGCTTCTGACTTGTCACTTCTAGCCAAGGAGCAGAAAAGCTGGGGCACGGGCAGTCTGACTGTCAGTTAGCATTGGCAGACAGCCTTGTGTTGTTGCTCTGTGTTTTATTTCAGAAAAAATATCCAAACAGGCATTGTGTTGCTTTGGCCTGGACAGCATTTCAGTGCTTGCACGGTGCTTGGTTCTGGTGATGCTGCTTTTGGCAGGTTGGCTGAGCCTTGCAGATGGTAAATGTAGGTGCTGCGTTTCAGGTTTGTGCAGGTGCATTTGAGGCATTTGTAGGCAAAACCCAGTTCGTGTCTGTTTACCTGGCCAGCATGGAGCAAATTGTGGTGATCATAAATGCTTTGTGGCTGAGCACACTTGCATTGCCCTCTGGTGGCTCCATCTCTGCTCTGGTGCTCACCTCCCTCACCCCTCTGTGCTCCAGGGGCTGCACAGCCCCAGCTGCTCCATCTGCCTCAGAGCTTTCCCCCTGCACTGGCATCGCAGAAACCTCTGACAGGCTGCTTCAGGAAGCTGACACGGGCAAAAAAACTGACATCATGGAAAAAAATCGTTTTCTGTTGGTTTATTTTCCTGATATGGCTTACTGGAGTATCAGAGAGATGGCAGGGAGGGGTGGGATGGGAGCTGGAGCACAGCCATGGGGACTGAGGTCAGTGTGTGCAGCTGGGGAACCACACCCGGGACTGGCACTGGCCGGGAGCGAGTTGATCAAGTGGTCAGAGCCAGCGTGTTGTTTTCCTGACTGGACATGGGCATCGCTTGAGCACTGGTTATAAATGCAAAATCATAGTTGCCTCTTACGTGTATCAGGTGTTGCTCTAGAGCAGGGTGGCTGTGAAAACTCACTTGCTCAAAATTTTTGATCTGCAGAGAGAAATGTGAATTTCAAAGGCAACTGATTGTCATGGAACAGTATTCCCTGTTGGATGTGGAAACAAGTTGCATTTTAGGGAGTTCTCTCTCTGTTTTGCTCCTCCTGAGATTTTTCCCAGCAGGTGGAATTCAACTGCCACAGAGCAAAACAAGTGACCATAGTGTTTCTCTCTGCCTAATGTGTCTCTGAGTGCAGACCTCAATAGGGCTGGGATGTAGGCAGCCTGTTCTGTTGTTGGATACATTTAAAATTAATAACCTCTCTGGAATGTGGTGGCTTTTTGTCATTAGTGTGGGGGAAATTATTGAGATTACGTTGGCTGGCTGCCTTTGCATTGGAAACATGAAGAAACCCAATTCAAATGCTGGGTTGTTTTAGAAAACCAGCTCACCCTGTTCAGGAGTTGCATCCCCGTTTAGTTTTAAATTATGAAGGCAGTGTCAAAGTTTAGATATTAATGAGAAATGTGATAATTAACCTGGGCATACCCACAAGTGAGATGGTATCTACTAGTTCTTTTCATCTGCCTTCTGTTTTGTGTGCTTTAGGCATAGTACAGTCCACAAACATGTGGGACATACCTGTCAGGAGTGTCTTTAATGCTCTCATTGCCTTTATTCTTGCCTAAAGGAGCCATATTTGCCCTGGACTATAGAACTGGTTGCTATGACTTTCGCTGTGAACTTCTAATGCCATCTTTAGTGAATGTGAACAAAAGTTGGATTAAGACTACTATGTAAAAAAAGTCTGTTTTTCATCTCCCGGCTACCTGGAAGACTTGAAATGCAACTGAGAAGCATGGTTATAACAAAACTCAGCTGGTTGGCTTCTAGGATGTCGAAAGGGAGATATGGGGAGGAGGGAATGTTTCACAGGGCGATTTCTCCTCACCAAGATGTGCCCTGCTCTGATGCAGGGCTTCCTGGAGACCTGCTTTAACTCGAGCATGGGGCAAATTGCTGCTCTGGATGTGTAGGTTGATGGGACATGAAAGGTGTGTGTTTGACCAGCTTTTCTATATGCAGCTGGACTGGACTGGGGCATCTGGTAGTGCTGAAGGCAGTGAGGTGTGTTACTATGTGCTGTGTCACAGCTTGCCTTCCATGCCATTGTAGGTATTCGCTCTCTCCATGCGTGTGGTGTGCTGTTCTCTGACAACCAGCAACAGGTATGAGTCCCATAGACACCTAGTGGATACTAGAACAGTCCACAGGTGAGAAACCACTGTTCAAGGTTATCACTAAAGTCAACTAAGGCGCAGACAAGCAGCTTCCAGCATCCTACAGCCTGGGATTTGTATTGGAAGTGATCCAAGGGGTAAACAGCAGTGGAGGAAAAAAAGCATTGTAATGTCTGAGAACAGTAATTAAGTGGGTCATTGGAACTGTCTAGGCTTTGAGTGACCCACAGGTTAGTGGGAGAAGAGCAGGTTGCTCCAGATCTCAGTGCAGCTCTGAATTTGTTCTGCAGAACAGGTGTGTGTCTGTGTGTGTGTGTACTTGGCCAAACAGTGGCATTTCAGAGGGGAGGCAGGGCAGAACAAAATCTGCAAACTTGTTCTGTTTATTTGTCTTCCTTCTCCCTGCTTCTAAGATAAGCAGAGATAAGCATCTTTTCTGGAAACACGAAGTACTCAAAAATCATAACCCGGCTGAACACTTTGTTCAGTGCTGCAAGGTGGTAAAACAATGCCCCGAAATGTTTGCTCGAGGCAAATAGGGATCTGTGATCCTGCTAGTGTGTCCTGCTGAGCATTTATCCTTAAAAGGAAACTGTGTGGGTTACTTTCCCCTCTTGCATCCTGTTATTTAAGCTATTTTAAGTACTTGTCCTCGGGAGGAAGCTGAGCCAGAGCTTGAAGCAGCTTTTGGGATTCGTTGCGGCTTTGCTGCGCCACCTGTGTCTGGGCAGAGGCTGGGACCGTGCGCCGCTGCCGTGACCTTTCCCAGGTTTAGCACCCTGGCCGTGCATGCATCTTTCAGTAGAAATAGGAAACTTCAGATGTGCTGTAGTTTCCTTTCCATCGGGCAGACTATAATGAATCCAGGCTGTAGCTTGTCTGTTAAAACAATTTCGCTTTCTTCCATTAGTAATTCTGGGCCGGCCGCCGGAGGATTTAATTTGGGATAGCTTCTATTTTGACAGCCTCTTCAGCTGTTGAATAACACCTTGGATTTTGTTAGAGAGGCATTTTAGACCACCTTCTGTCTGAAGGCTGGGCCTGTTGCAGGACATCCAGCAAGGCACCATATGGTGGACCTGCAGTGATGCTGGAAATAATTTTGGAACTTGCTGGTATTGCCAAGGTGGATTTTTTTTAATTTTTTTTTTTAATTTTTTAAAATTCTGCTTCTTTGTGCATTTGATTGTGATGCCAGAAGGGGAGCAGAGGCAGCAGGAAAGGAAGCATCTGTCCTGTGGGATAGGGGGTTTAGGCCTATTTGTCACATCAGGCTTTTTGACATGTTAAGAATGGATTCATTTTCCACCATGTAATTAATGACTAGTGTGATGGTCCAAACCGTCACAACTAGTTAAGATTACTTGACTCTGCTACCAAGCCAAAACCACAGGCTTGCACATCCACTAGGCTTTAACTCTTAAATCTGCCCTTCTGTGGCCAAGAAGCTAAAGCTTGAAATGAGAGCATCTTTACTACAAAACCAGTACCTTGGCATGGGATCTTGCAGTTCAACCAACAGACCTGACTTTCTTGTAAATCCCACTCCCAAGTGTCCAGGACATAGGTGCTCTTTTAATCCATAAAGTAAATCAGTGATTAATTTTTTTTTAAGGATACTATGGGTGTTTTGGATATTAAGATGGAAGAACTTAAGTCCTGAGAATGAAAGGTTTTGAGTAACTTAAGCAGCCTTCACATTTATGTGTAGTTTGTCTGAGCCCAATGTAGGTGTTGAGAGCCACTGCTGTGCAGCTCCTCCTGATGGGCACCATCTTTCCTGGTGCCATGCTCCTGGCTTGTGGGAGTTCATATGTGAGTGTGCATTTCAGATGGCTCTTCGTGTGGCAGAGCTGCTATTTTTTTTTTTTTTTCAGTGAGCAGAGGCAAATCTTCTTTGAACTAGGCACACCTAGAGGACTGGGAAGATGCTGATTGTGGGGGTGAATGAAACCCTCAAAATGAGCAGATGTTGACTCAGACTGGAGTGAATTCCTGGAGCAAGTGTGGATGGACCAGACAGCCTGGGCTAACTCCTCAGTGGCATTTCAATTGGTGTTTTAAAGTTATGATTTCCTTTCTTCAAGCAAACCAATACAAAATCGAGGCTGGGGATTAACTCCTATAACTAGATTGTACCCTTAAATAGAAATTAGGAAATCCCTTCTTGACTGATTTTTCCTCACTAGCTGTGAGGTAGGGAAAAGATGCATATTGTGGAGTTAGATTCAGTAATAAAAGTATTGTAATAGAAGCTGTGATTTATCTAGAGGGGAAATAGTTTGCTCATGACATCAGAGGCTGGACTGTTAATAAAGCTTGCCTTTGTAAGCTTATATTATTTTGGAATAAAATTCTGAAATTGAGGGCCAGACAGCAACCTGTTGGTATCATTAATCATTGCCCCAAACGACTTTATTTCACCAGCATTATTGTAAACACTGACATTTCATAAAGTAATTTAATGTATTTGTTAATCTACTGAGATTGATGCTCTTCTTTTGTTTGAGGTATAGGAGAAGAGCACAGGTTTGCTCTGGTTGCTTTGGATGTTTGCCACTAAGCATTTGAGTTTCACTTCCTTGATAACTGATAAAAACAATTTTAAAATCCCATATTCTCCTATGGATCTGGAAACTGAGGAAGGTTGGAGTGCTGGTGTAGACATGCTGCTTGCTGGAACATTGCTGTGAAACAAAACCTAAAAATTATACTGACACCTCACTAGAAGTAAATTGACCTTTACAATTTGGTAAAAAAAACCCCAAACCTCAAAACAGGACTTTAGAGCTATCCTGATTGTTTTCTTTTACCCTTGAAAGTATCTCCCTTTAAGCATAAATACTGACCCTAGTGGCTGTGGTGTGAGATTCCCTCTTGAACAAAGCCAAATGCTGAGGCTGGTGCAGCTCTTTCATCCTGCAGCCTGCAGGATGGGAGGATGTTTGGGTAGCAGAAGCAATTGCTTGAATGGAATTTAACTCTGTGGCTTTAAGGAGAGCCTGGTGATGGATCCCTCTGGATCTGTGGGCTGATGGGATTCATCCCATGGTGCTCAAAGGGCTGTCTGATGTAATCATGACACCTCTCTCAGTGGTTTTTCAGTGGTAGTTGGTGGTGGTGAGCTGCACTCAGCAGTGCACCATCACAGCCCCAGGAGCTCTGGAAGTGGTGGGGGAGAAGCTAACACAGCTACTTAAATGGAGAAAAAGCTCTCATTTAGCCTTTAAGGGCTGGGCTGGTGTCTTCAGTACAGGCATTGTGTTGACTTTGCAGAGCTTGTGGTTCGGTGATGGTTGTAGGAGACTGACAGTCTTCACCTCCTCAGCCCATCCAGGTATTCCCCAGCAGCAGCAGTAATCCGGGGTTAGCATCTCCCCACAGCCCCAGGCCTGGGGAGGAGATAGCAGCTCAGGCACTAGATCAGCTTCCCTGGGCTATCTGTAGCACTTGCCTACAGGAGAAGGTTTTTAACATTGCTGGTCAGCCAGTAAGAACTCACCTTGCCCTGAATTCCTGTCTCTCCAAAGATGGGGCCGGAGGGTTGTGCTTATGTCTTGAGATATGAATCTGGGCTGTCCAAAAGCTGCAAATGCTGTATCTGACTGTGGACACGACTCCTGAAACCTTGGAACCAGCTGTGCTGGGAGGCAAACTGCTCATCCTGTTGAGTGTGAGGAAGGAGGCACACAACCACTGCCTGTCTGTCCATAGTGGAAGGAAAATCTCACTTGCCTGAAGGAAGGTTGGGGCTGCTGGATTTGACGTGTGTTGTTGGCAGATGTGATGATGTCCCCGAAGGGGTTGGGATCTGTTAATGCGAAAAGCTTCAATTTCACAATAGATTCTTGTTTTCTTCCTCAACCTAGTAGGTGACAATGTTTCACTAAACAGGCAGTGCTGTGGCTTGGAGACTGACTGTCAAAGCAGATGTTCTTGCAGACCTTACTTGGGCAGCAATAAAGTATCTTGTTGCAATTTGCTGTCAGTGTTTAAATGGAGAACATTATTATCAACATGATAAAAACGCAAATGTAGAGCTGACTTAGTGTTTTCAGTTCAGAAAATAAGTGCTGTGTTTCATTCCCATCTATTTTTAACACACAAAGGCAGGGACAGTTAGATGCAGAAAGAGTCAATCTGGATATTGTTTATGAAAATGCAGATGCTCTGTTGTGAAACTTTTACACCAGACTTGGTCACGTGTGCCAAGAGTCATCCTGATCAGCCCTGCTTTGAAGCTGCTGTTCCCCAGAGCCAGAGAGACCTCATGGCTTGAGCTTGGGACCCTCTGAGGCTGTGCCGTGTGGATTTGCTGTGTGCCTTTGGTTCCTGGTGTATTTGTGGTGGTGTCCACTGAACAGTGTACTCCTTGGTATTTTGCTGTGTCTATGTCCTGCGTGGATCTTGCTTTCCCAGTGCACAGATTGCTCTCCATTAAGCCCTTGGGTGTGGGGGTTGTGTTTCTGCCCCACTGTCTGGGGTTGGTCCTGTCGGGTCACTGACACATTTCTGAAACCTTCTTCTGTCTCTTCTCTTCCTCAGACCTCAACAGCAACGGGTTCATCTGTGACTATGAGTTGCATGAACTCTTCAAGGAGGCCAACCTGCCTCTGCCTGGATACAAAGTGAGAGAGATCATCCAGAAGCTCATGATCGATGGAGACAAGAACAAAGACGGGAAGATTAGTTTTGAAGAATTTGTCTATGTAAGTGGTATTCTTGAATTTCCAGTAGCTGGGGGGACCTGTTTTAACAAAGCCAAAGAAGACAATAGAAGAGGCTGCACCTGAACTTCTCAGACACCCTAATCCTAGTTTTCTTTTGACAAACTGATCACTTTTGAGGGTTATCCATGTTAAAATCAGTTCTTTATGCAGATCTCTGAACGTGACCAGTTTTTTGTACTGTGGCTTCCAGCCTTCAGACGTGGACAGAGGGAAAATATGTTGTCGTTTAAACAAAACCAAACAAACTAAAAGAATCCAAGGTTTCCTATATGGGAGCTTCATTGGAGGCTAAAAGACTTTCCACATGAGGTGACAACTGGGAAAAAGACTTCCAATTCTCCAGGACTATAGTATTGACTGGAAGCTATTCAGTTTTTCCAGGCACACAGATGAATGCTGTTTTTCCCAGTGTATCAGTATAATTTTCTTTATTTAATGGAACTGCAAGTATTTGCTAAAGACTTGAGAGGGCATTTCAAGACACTTTTGGAGATTAGTCCTAGATGCTGATCTAGGAGAAATCAAATCTGTTGATTCAAAAGAGAAGAACAGGAGTAAGGAGACAGAAAAAGCTGGAGGATGGGCATATCCTTAAGTCTTTTTTGGTAGAAATAGATCAGAATTTTTTAGTTTATTTTTAAAAAAGCACAGCACTTCTGAGATACGGGTGCATCTTTCAACTTTTATACTCTGATGGCTGAAAGCTGAAAAAGAATAAAAGTATGTGCAGTACATTGAGGGAGCTGTTTTCATGTCAATTAGTTTTCTTGATATTTTTTAATTCATCTTCTGTTCCTTAATTGTTTTCAGACCCTCTGAACTTTTGAGTTCGGAGTCAACTAGTAAGTTGGAGTTTGTTTGCAGTTTGTGAACACTTGCATGCTGGGTGCATGTTTCAGCTGTTGGTTTGAGCTGGTCCATAACTCTAACTTTGCACTAGGAAGAAAGAAATAAATCTCTTCTGTCACATTAGAATGGTACCAACGATCAAGTAAACACAAAATGTCTTACAGGCAACTTAAGGTGTACACTGGCAGCAATGTTAGTTGTAGGATTTTTACAAAATGAACTGTTGCTGTTTTCTAACTCTGAGCCTTTTTTCTGGGGTTTATGTTTCAAAGGATGACGTGAACTGACTTGAGGTTGGGGCCAAGTGACTTAGTGGTACCTCAGCATTAAAGCACATGTTTTCAAGAAGATATAAAATGCCAGCAATTAACCCAGGAAATTTTAAAATAAATAAATCTATTTTAAATAAATAAAAATCTTTGTGGTTAAAGCCAACAAACAATAATCCCCCAGATTTTGGGCTCTTGAATCTTTGATCAGCTTTACCTGATCAACTTCTGTGTGCCATCAGGAGATGGTTTAACTGCACTGTATCATCATCTTGACTTGCCACCTTCCCTATGTTTAAAGGTCAGGGAAGGTAAGGCATGACAGCCACCAGGCTGACCCTGTGGTGATGCCTACAGACTGGTGTCCCCTCCTCTCTTTTTAATAGGAGCACTTTGTTGTTCTGCTTTACAGTCCTGTTTCATTCGATTTCGAGAGAGTTACATTAAGCTGTCCAGCCAATGAATGTGTTTTTTACTAATAATTGCTCAGTTCTCTAGGACCTTGGGGCTTCTAATAGTAACATACAACCTGCACAAATGGCATGTGTAAAAGCATCTGCGCTAGAAGCGTCTCTTCTGCCCTCAAATGTGAGGGTGTTTTATCAGTTAGCCCAAGCCTGTCGTTGAGGAAGGGGGAATCCTTACTTGGGGCACTCCTTGTTACACATCATTTGCAGTTGACTATTACTTGCTTAAAGAGAATTGTTTCTTGGGTTGTGGAGAAAGTATTTTGTGTGAACTAAAGTCACAGTCCCACGGGCATCTGGCTTATGCAGAAAGGTTAAAATTGCACCACAGCTTTCTCAAGTTTGGTCCTGCGGGAACTGCTGCATGTGTACCTTCTGTCAGTCTGCAAAGGTTTTATGTTCTTTTTGTGGTCCCTTGAAATCTACTTGTAAAGGTAAATATATGCAAAATACTTCATGCCTAATGCTTCTGTTTCAATAGGCACTTGCAATATGTGTTTGAGAGAGTGGGATGACTTTCTGCCCACTATCCATGTTAACTTAATACCACTACACCCTTGCTGGGCTCTTCACATTTGCTGATTTTACTATGAAGTTTGTTTTAAAGATGAGGCAAAATAGCTTCTTCTGTGGTCCTTTTCTTTTATGAGGAGGAGCTTTCCTCGTCTAACAGAGTGCTTTAAATTGTAGATTTTCCAAGAGGTGAAAAGCAGCGATATCGCTAAAACATTCAGAAAAGCAATTAACAGGAAGGAAGGAATCTGTGCCATCGGGGGCACCTCGGAGCTCTCCAGCGAGGGGACGCAACACTCCTACTCAGGTACTGCTCTGCCTTCCCTCTCTTCTCTTGGGTAAGTGGAAGCCTTGTGCCAAAACCAGTCCATTTCTACCGCTGTGCCCTGTTCTCTGAGAGTTGAATGATCTCGTGTCAAGGTGAGAGCAGCACAGAATTTATGTACTGCAAATTTAGCAGTATATAAATTAAATGTGTGCTTATTTGTTTTGTTAACTGTGCTGGCTGATGAAGTCATTGTGTCATGCTTGAGTAAAATAAAGTTGAGTAACATGTAAGTAACAGTAATGTTCTGGTAATTGGAAGCGAGAGTCATCTTTCTTTAAACTTTTTGTGTGACTAATAAAATAGTGTGGTAATAATAGTGGGGCTGTTATTTCCCTGGGCTATTGTATGCTGAATCTTTTTGGAAAATCTTTGCTATGTTATGAAAAAAATTGCATTAAATTTACAATTGGTTATCTTAGAGGAAGAGAAATATGCCTTTGTGAACTGGATAAATAAAGCCTTGGAAAGTGATCCTGACTGTAGGCACGTTATTCCAATGAACCCAAATACAGATGACCTGTTCAAAGCTGTTGGAGATGGGATTGTGCTATGGTAAGTCATGATGGCTCTTGAATCAAAAATTAAAAAAAAAAAAAAAAAAAAAAATTGAATATCACCATAATAACTTCCCAGAACTGTAGTTAGGGGAATTTTCATTCTATTCTAGGCTGATTTTGCGAGTAGTGTGTGTGCATAACACTTTGCACATATAGAGAGAGGCTCAGTCTCTTTCATTGCTATTGTGTGATGCTCCAACTTTGGTGCCAGCTTCACAAGCTGGTATTTTCCTCTAGTGTTTTTGTTTGGGCTTGAGTCTGAGTTTGCTGAAGGGGAAGAAGGGGCTTTGTGGGAGCAGAAGTTGTCCTGTTGCAAACTTAGCTTGGTGCTGTGTAGCTCGGGGGAGGACATATATGGTAAAAAGCCCATGCCCTTGGATGTTTAGACAGGCAGTATCCTCTGTGAGAATGTTAGTGACCTTATGAATTAACCCAAAAATGGATTTTCTGGGAATCCTTGTGTTGCTTTTAAGGTGACTTATTTTGTTGCATGCTGAAAACAGAAAGCATCCAGGTTAATTTTTTTTAATTGTAAGTGAATTAATATAGTGGAGAGGTGGATCAGCCTGGAATTTCAGTAACTCTGTATCAATACACAAAATAAGTTTAAGTGAGATACTCATTGCCTTTCATTTCTTTTTTCCTTTTAACTTGTGATATGTATTTTTATTTTATTTATTTCCCAAGTTTCAAGTAGGTAGTTCAAGTCTTCAGGCAAAGACTGAGCTGAGTAGGAAATAGTTTGTAATATAAAGTAAAACCTTACCAAATTTTCTGTTGATTAAAAATTCATTGTGCTCGCATGCTCCACACTGAGCTTCCCAAGTGTTTGTGGTTTTCTGGGACAGGTTTTCCTGCCAGCAGTAGTACACCTTTAAAATAGGAGGAGGCATGTTGTCTTACTAGAATGTGCAGTGGATGTCAGCAGAGCAATGAGTCTTCACTAGTTCAGTGACTGCACTGTAAATAATTCAGGGGCTCTTTTTGCTCCAGCAGCTGAGTGGCCAGGAACATGTTTAAGGTTTCAGGCTTAGCTATTAGTTACCAATACATTCTTGATAATGTCAATATTAACTTCTGATTTATACAACCTTGATTTTATTAAAAAAACAAAACAAAACAAAACAAACAAAACACAAAAACAAACAGGTAAAAGGAAATGTACTGTTGTGAGTATTGTCACAGTGAATTTTGTTCAGGTTAAATACTAAAAGTTTTTCAAGTATAATCGTTCTTCCTCCTAACAGCAAAATGATCAATCTTTCTGTTCCGGACACGATTGATGAAAGAGCAATTAACAAGAAGAAACTCACACCATTCATAATTCAGGTATGGTGCATTTCTGTATTTTTTTACTGAAATTCATATGCAGATAGACTTAATGAATGCAGCATAGTGACTCAAGGCATTACTGTTGAACTCTGGAAGGGAGCTAGTTTTATAGCTTATGTTTAATTATTAAATGCAGTTTTGTACTGTGCATAATCAACAGTTGTGTGGGCACAGTTCAAAAAACAAAATGCTTAGTGACAAAATGAGTAATGTGGCTGAAATGCTGTGTACACCTGATATTGCTTTGTTGATTATGTACAGCACTATCTTTTTGAAACTATATGGTTATTGGTGTTGGGTGTCTGTGAATCATTTCATAGTAGAACAGGTTGTTTTTGTGAAGATGCCAGTGTGTGTGTATAAATTAGCACTTTTCTAGTCTTATTCTTGTTGATGCCACTAGATGCAGCTAACTTAGATGCTGAAACTAGATACCAGAGGCTGAAATTAAACCCTGGTGCCTAGTTCAGTTCTTATTGATTCAGCCTGCTGCCACCACAGCTCCGTTAAAACTTCAGCCAGAGAGTGGCTGGGGGAGTTTCCTCTGAGCTGCTGATTTTGGAGCAAGAACACGGGGGAAAATCTCCACTCTGCTGGTGCTGGAAGAAAGGGAAAGCAGCATCTCCTTGGACTGTGTCTCACTGGGCTGTACTGTTTGCAGGAGAACCTGAACTTGGCCTTGAATTCTGCATCTGCCATCGGCTGTCATGTTGTCAATATTGGTGCAGAGGACTTGAGGGAAGGCAAACCCCACCTGGTTCTTGGGCTTCTCTGGCAGATCATTAAGATTGGCTTGTTCGCTGACATCGAGCTCAGCAGAAATGAAGGTAAATTAAACTTTTAAGTGGTTTCTTCCAAAGCATGAACACCACGTTGCTAGGGCTGTCAGCTCCAGCCCTGTGGCTGCCTCTTCCCTCCCTGTTCTCTGCTGGAAGGGGGTTCATCAGGGCATGCACCAAGCTCACTGCTCTCCAGCCTGTTTGTGGCAGGAGAGCAGGTTCATGCAAGTGGGTTGTGCCACCCTGGTAATGTGTGTCAGCCTTGGAGAACTGTCTGAACACCAGTCTGTAAGTCAAGACGCGGCTTGGCTTGAACCTTGTGGGGAATGAGCACATTTGCTTGGTGATGCCCCAGGCTGCTTCAGCCAGAGGTACCTAATGGAGCTGGGAGGTGGCAAAAGCTGAAGCATCCTTTTAGGATTGTAGACAACTGCTCATCTTCCTCTTAAAAAAAAGGAAAGAACGCACCAGCTCTTTAAGTAATGATTCAGTTTTTCCTAAAATCCTCCTTGCTACTGTCAGTGGTGTAGCTGAGGTCTCACTTCGTTCTTGTCGGTGGGAAAGTGGTGCTGCAGCTCTCTCCCTGTGCTCACTTGGTCCTGCATGACAGACCTCACAATTTAAAGTTTTCAAATCATTCAAAGAGCTTGTGCTGATGGCATGTGTTATCAGTGCACCCAGGTGGATGGAGGGGCTTCAGTGTCTTTTGTTTAAACTTCCCCATTGTGAACTGGTGCCATTGTTTGGCTTAGATTGAAAATTCATGACAAGGGAAGCTCCAGGTGCTTATCTTGGCTTCTCTGGCTTTTTTAAACAGTACTTATGAAACTACTTGAAAACATTTTTTGTTGAGATAGAAGTACATTTACATTTAGCTTACTGCCATCAGCTTAAAAGACTGCATATAAAATCCAGGGAATTTTGTTATACAAGCAAATGGAAAATACACACAGTTTTCTAGATCATTCGTGCTTCTCTCTGTGTAACAACCAGCTCAGGAAAACTCCACTAATACCCAGAACATTTTGACATAATCAGTAGTTGGTGTTGTATCCCTCTGAAGTACTGCTGCAGCTCTAATTCTGGCATGCAGGTTTGACTCTTGACATCACAAGCATTTTTCTTCTAGCACTGGCTGCCTTACTTCGTGATGGTGAAAATCTGGAGGATCTTATGAAACTATCCCCAGAAGAGCTGCTCTTAAGATGGGCCAACTACCACCTGGAAAACGCAGGCTGGCACAAAATCAATAACTTCAGCTCAGACATCAAGGTACTAAGAGCTCTCCTGACCTGCACATACCTGGGAAAAGACTGAGAGCCAGCCAGAGCTGGTTTTGCATGTGTAAATGAGGCCTTTCATCCTCATACAGGACCTTTCTTAATCCTTGTACTCTGGGTGGTCTTAACAGAGGGGTTAGGGATGGTATATTTGAGGTACCGCAGTGCTGTTCTCTCTTGCCATGAGGATGAGCCCAGTGTTGAACTGTCTGTTTCCTCCAGTGCTGGGGGAGTTCTGCTATAAAGCTCTTGCATTTTTTAATCAAATACAAAACTGGTACTGTTCATATGTTTTCTTACAGTTATTTTTCAGATGTGAAGGGTGACTCTAAGCACTAGTGAGAAAGGGAGGGTGGTGACTCCTGGTCAGTGTGGGGTTTTTGGACACTGGTTTCAGCAGGCTTCGAGTACTACTTCATGTGGCTAGCAGTTTTGAGGAGGAGAAAAGGGATTGGTGGGAAAAAAAGATAATTGATGTGCATGGGGAGCATGTGCACACATATGGTCACTCTTATTTCCAACTTCAAAGTTGCTTGAGTTTTGCTGGTAGCTGTTGGCGTCTCTGCCTGCCAGGATATGCTGAGGTCCTTCTTATTGCTGAGGACTAAAAGGAGATGTAGTTGATAATTAATTACTGTAGCTATTTGCTCCTCCTGATTTGTGACCATCCCTGCCCTCTCTCCCTTAACCTATCATAGCTAATGGGCAGGAGAAAAACATTCAGACATTTTTCATAATCAGCTTTTTGCCTGGAATTTGTTTTCACTGAGCTATTTTCATTGTTGCTGTAGTAGTAGGAATGGGTGCCTTGTTTAGGGGCAAGGGCTGCCTTGGGGCATCTGGGGGCCATGACTGGGAGCAGGATGGGGTCATTGCCTCCTCCAGCTGTTGGAGAGGTGACTGTGGCACCAGAGTTTGCACAAAAGCAGTTTTCAAACAGTCAGAACCCATAATTTTCATCTTAAATATTTCTAACTTTTTCTCTTTCTGTTTCCTTTTCTGCTGCCTGGATTTCTACCATTGTGCTCTTTTAAGCTTACAGATTTTGGCAATTCAGTAAAGGTATATAAGCCAATTATGCACAGTGACTTGTTAAAGATGAGCCTGAAATGAATTGTTACGGTGTATTCACTGCTGTGCAGGAGACCTGAATTTTCTTTTTCGTCCATTTCAGGATTCCAGAGCTTATTTCCACCTCCTCAATCAAATTGCACCTAAAGGGCAGAAAGAGGGAGAGCCTCAGATTGATATTAACATGTCAGGTTTCAATGTAAGTGTTCAGGCTGTCCTGGCCTCATGCTGTGGAATCGTGAACTCCCTGTACCCTATCATTGCCCCATGACATCTGGGTAACCTGGTATCTTAATTTCTAGAGCGTGTACAGTGTCAATGGCCATGTGCACGCCTTGGGTGTGTTTTCATTGAATGGTTGTTGCTGGCCTGATCACTACCTGCCAATCAACAGAGATGACTGAGAGATCATTTGTGACTTTGGTTCATTTGAAAGTGGGCTGACTTCTGCTTTTGAACCACCAAGTTCCAAAAGCATAAAAATTGAAAAGCATATAATCTTAGAAAGCACCATGCTAGGAAAAAACCCAAGGCAAACCAGGATGATTACATGCAGAGCAGCAGGGGTCACCATGTGTGCTTCATCCCTTCATTCGATTAGTGACTGATGCCTAACGAAGGCGTGTGGAGTTGTGACATTGATCCGGGTACTGGTCAGGAGCTTCCCATCTGCTTTGTAGCCTGATCTTTCCCATGATAACTCTTGTCCACTGCATCCCTGGCAGGAAAAGGATGACTTGCGGAGAGCAGAGTACATGCTTCAGCAGGCGGATCGGCTTGGCTGCCGGCAGTTCGTCACACCGGCTGATGTGGTCAGTGGCAACCCCAAACTGAACCTGGCCTTTGTTGCCAACCTGTTCAACAAGTACCCAGCACTTACCAAGCCTGAAAACCAGGACATCGACTGGACCCTACTGGAAGGTGATGGCCATATCAGTCACAAAATTAGCAGGAGGGAAATGTCTAAAGTAAACAGTTGTGTCACAGGAGGCTGTGCCCTGCAGAGGTATCTCCATTGAAGTAACACCTATGATTTGAGGTTTTTGGTGCTGCAGCGGTTGTTCGCTCATTTGGGGCAGATGAGAAAGGGTACTTGACAGCCTGTTCAGCTACTCTGACCCTGTTGGTGAAGCCTGAACCAGTTGGCACACTGCCAGCAGCCTGTCACCCCACGTGCCAGGGAAGTCAGTTTTGGCATTTCCTGTGATGGGCAAGAGCACCTCAGTAATGCAGTAAGGTGTTCATGGGAGCACTGTTTGTTGGCACAGCTGGGATTAGGGCTTTGACAGCTTGGCTCAGGGACAGCAGTTAACTAACACCCATGTGAAAGACCTTCCTCATACTTTTTCTTGGAGAAAGTGCAAAAGGCATCCTCTTCTGAGGCCTGGAGAAATCAAACTGCTGTCGAAGACTAGATATCAGGGCCACCCTCTTCCTTTGAAAAAAAATTATAGCAGAAAAAATTACTTTCTCTTCTTAAAAGCCTAGTGATGAGCTATGCTGCTCAAAGCTCCCTGCCTTGCAAGGTGTAAATCCCTTGCACAATGCTGAGCTCACAGAATTTGCATGAATCTGTTTTCTCTCTTCTAGGAGAGACTCGTGAGGAACGGACCTTCCGTAACTGGATGAACTCCCTTGGTGTGAACCCCCATGTAAATCACCTCTATGGGTAAGCATTAGGCTTGTGAGAGGCCCAAGTAGGTCAGACTAAAAAATGTGCCCACACCATTGTCCTGTTGCCACAGTGCTGAGCAAAGACCTTAAGAAGGAAGGGAATGGGAGATGCTCACTGCACTGTCCCTGCAATGTACAGCTGAGGGATTTCTTAGCTGGCACTTGGCTTTAAGGGTTGAAGACACTGTGTTTATTTTCCCTTACCTTGTAAAATTGTTACCCTGAGATCCCAATACATTTGGATCTGCTTAAGCAACTGCACTAGAGCAACTGAAGCTTGATGCCCCATCCCCTAATTTTAGGTCATAACCAAGACATCATAGTTAGGAGGCAAGATATTCTGGGTCCCTGTAGTCAGTTGAGAGAGGTGACTACTTTTGGATTTTATGTAACAAAATTCTTCCCTGGATGTGTTGCTGATTACCATGCTAAAATCTGCTTTAGCTCAGCAACTGGCTGATATTAAGCATGGAGCATTTCTTCTGCCCTGAAAAGTGCAAAATGTTTTGATTGTTTTTTTTCCCTTTTATGTTTTTTGAAATTGCAACAAACCTGTAAAGAATGATAGTTATTCATGATGTGACAAAGTCAGAGTACACTTAAATCTAGAAATATTAGACTTAATCAGTGTTTTCCACTTCAGTGATCTCCAAGATGCACTGGTAATACTACAATTATATGAAAAAATCAAAGTTCCTGTTGACTGGAATAAGGTTAACAAGCCTCCATACCCTAAACTTGGAGCAAATATGAAAAAGGTAAGCATGTCGAAAGACTTCAAAAGAAGCCACAGACACTAAAAATTCCTGTTTGAGATTTCCGTTCAAGTGAGCGTGTTTGTGAGTGATTTCCTGTTTAAATTCTTGTCCTGTGTAGCTAGAAAACTGCAACTATGCTGTAGACTTGGGAAAACATCCAGCTAAATTCTCCCTGGTTGGCATTGGAGGACAGGATCTGAACGATGGAAACCCGACACTGACACTTGCCTTGGTCTGGCAGTTGATGAGAAGGTAGGACCCCTTTCAAACATGTAAAACTTGTGAATGGAGTACAGAATTTGGGAAGTCCTTTTGCTGTGTGAGCACTGCAGCACTGAAACAGGTCACCCAGAACAATTGTACCTAATCTTGTTCTCTCTGCTGGTTTTCAGGTACACGCTGAATGTCCTCGAGGACCTGGGTGATGGCCAGAAAGCCAATGATGACATTATAGTCAGCTGGGTAAACCAGACACTGAAAGAAGCTGGCAAGTCCACCTCCATCCAGAACTTCAAGGTGCAGGTTCCCCTCTTGCATCCAAAAGGAGAGAAGTGCCCAAAAAGCATTTCCTCCTCTGGAAGGAGCAGCAGGGACATCCTAGATAGGAGTTTAAACAGGATAGGATTCAGTCTGTACTGGGAATAGAGTGGCTTCAAGCTACCTGATAGGAGACTATTCCCCACAGTGGGGAACAGTGGGGGATGGCAGAGGAGGGGAGCGTGGTTGGGGTCTGGGGCTGTGATGCTGACAAACGGGTTGGAGCTGGTGAGTGCTCGAAGATGAGCACTGTGCCTTGGGCTGTGGTCAGCAGGGCAGACCTGCTGCCTCCACATCAGTTACTACTTTGTATTTTCAGAGTATTTGCAGTAAATTAGGGTAATAATATTATATTATTGCCAAAGGAGAAGCAGCAGTTTGGTTTTCCCTGTGATTCAGATGGGAATGATCACTAACACTGCTGCTTTGAAAAGGCTTGTTTAAAGCCAGTTTTGTTACACATGGCAGAGCAGCTGAATTGAGGTGAGAAGTATGCTTGAAGGGTTCGACATTCATCTTTACTTCTGTGTCCCTGTGTTCTCTAGGACAAGACTATCAGCACAAGCTTGGCTGTTGTGGATTTAATTGATGCTATTCAGCCTGGTTGTATCAACTATGACCTTGTAAAGACTGGTCATCTATCGGAAGATGACAAACAAAATAACGCTAAGTAAGTCTGATACCTCAAAAGCTGTTTTTCATTGAAGGAGTGCCCCTTCTATGTGCTGGCCTCAAGCTGCAGGTGTTCTTACTACAGTTTATTGCTGCGGTTTTCAGTCTCTTTTAACACTGTACCATTTAGACAGGCAGCACTTACTGAAATCCACTTGCTGTCCTTGCCTGTGACGCTGGAGGGAGCAGTTGGCTGAACTCTGGCTTGTTGGGAGAAAGGCAGAACTGCTCAGGCAGTTCTTAGCAATGATACTCTGTTTCTCACCTGCTTGTTCAGGCATATGAAGAGCTGGTGGCTCATTGTTTTGACATTGAACCCTTACATGCCTCATGTCTTGTTGAATCATTGTAGGTTGTCAAGTTTAAAGTATGCCTATTAAAACATGCCTTTGAAATGTGTGTTCTGTGACTGTTCTGCAGTGGCAGAACGACAGTAAAGTTTCTGGCAGATAATAGTCTCGCTTGGTTATTCATAAGGAGCAAACAGAAGGGGAAATGTAAATGTTACGTGATTAATCCTTCGTTGTGTATGCTATTATTTCTAATAAATATTAATTAAGATTAATTTTTTAACTGTTGGTAAAGTGGACTTGACATTCAAAGGTCAATTTGCACATTAAAAACACTTTACTGTGGAAAAGAAAAACAGCAAAAGATCGGAAAAATTGTAAAACAAAGGATGTGGTGTGCTTGAACTGTTCCACATCTTGATTCTCTATAAATAATAGGTGAAATTGTGTTGGATAGGGCAAGAGCTGACTTGTAATTTATTGCTAGTAGTCTTGGTGCTGACCCACTCATCTTTCCATGGTGAATAGGTATGCTGTGTCCATGGCAAGAAGAATTGGTGCCAGAGTTTATGCTCTTCCAGAAGATCTTGTGGAGGTGAAACCGAAGATGGTCATGACCGTGTTTGCCTGCTTGATGGGCAGAGGAATGAAGCGAGTATAAAAGAGTTGATCCATGAAAAAAAACCAAAATGCAACAACAACCCAACCTGCCACCCTGGGTGCATGAGTAGCAGATCGGCTGTGACCACGTTGAAATGCTGTTGGCCTGGAACTGTTGAGGTTCAAAGGACTTTGTTTTGCTTTGCAAGACAAACTCTTTATCAAAATTCTCAGGGAGAGGAGTTTTAACCAACAGACATGCTCTTTTCCCAAAGGAAAGTTTAACTTATCAAGAGCTCACAGAAATGCATTCATAGCAGACCTGCATTTTGCAATACTGCTCTGGAGCTGCTTTCACTCCATTATTTCTCAGCTACTTGATGCATGGTTTTTTTACCCCTGAGGGCTATAAGGTGGTTGGTATGAGTTCTAATGGAAACAAATCTAATTTCTATCTGCAGTCCACTTTAATTTCTGTCATACAGGCCAAGCATATTCTAAGTTTGACCACATCCTTAACTTTGCAAATAAAACTACAGTACAATTTGGGACCTGCAGGTCAGCTCACAATGCTAAATGAGAAATGTGTAATTAGGAAGATGTTCTTCCTCTGGTATTCTTTGTACATGGTGCTTTTTTGTACATCTAACTATTTTGATTACTTTACAAATAAAGCATGGCAGTTTTTTCTCTTGCTGCATATAAAAAATTAAGATTTTTTTGGTTTTGATTTGTTTTTTTCTTTTGTTTAAGGTTATACTATATATGATAATACCACCATCCTTGGACCTCTTGCAGTAACATATGGTATCATGTTGCTGATGGCACGGTTACACCTAAGAATGGAAGTGAATGCATTTTTGTATGCATCTTGGTTCAGTTCTGTGCACCTAGAAAATAATTTTTACAAAAATCTGCATGAAAATCTATAACTTTTTTATTTAAAATGCTGTTGGATATAAAACCATACTACATTGTGGGGAGGTTTTGTGCAGGGAAGAGGCAAATGGTATAAACAGCAGGGTTCAATAAAGTGAACAGCAAATGTGCTGGAACATAAAACTATTTTTACAGATAAATGGAAGCGTTTTCGCCAAAGAAGGAAGATGCTGTATCCATAGGATCTAATATTATCTTGCTTTGGCAAGCTGTTTGCTATATTTTGAGATCATATTGCTATTCCAAGCTATTCAAAGTGATGTAATATGGTGGCAAACCATTAGATGAAATAAAAACATTTAAATACATGCTTCTCTCCTTATTTACACTGACCCAGCGTGGCAGCCTGTCTTCACTCGCAGCTGGTGCTTCTGGGCTGCTGTGTCACACACCAACTTTCCCCACTTTAATGGCCAGATGCAAATCTGCTATTAGTGCTGGTTCTTCAAAGCATGTTGAGAGGTTGGTGCTGCCATTAAAGAACAAAGGAAGAACATGTTTGTTCTTCTGTATTGTGATGGTTTGTGGGCTCCAGAGATTGAAGTTTATATGAAGGCTAATTGAGTGAAAGAGCTTTAACTTTTCTGTGTGTAGGAGATGAAAAAAGGGCAGGTGAGAGGGAAGAATTTGGCAGGGAGCTGGGAATGTCAGCAAACTGCCACGGTGATTTATAGCATGAAGCCTCATGCACAGCCATTTGGGAACTTTCCACTGGTACAATTTTTTCACAAGAAAATATGTTAAGAAAACTTCCACAGGAAATTGCATTTTTTCATTGAAGATGAAGTGATATACCGTAAGTATATCATCCCTCCTGCTAAAATAGTGGGTGATTTATAACACTGTGTGGGGGTATGGTATAATCAAGGGCAAAATTCTTGGACTTTAGAAGTGGCCACGGTCATCTGTCCTGTCTCACCTCTTTGGCTCCTGGTACCAGGTTACAGGGGGAGAAATGGATACTCTGACAGAGAACAGGAAAGCATCTCTTACTTGTGCTGTGGATGTATTTAAGAAATGGGCTCATTCAAAGAGAAGTATTGGGTCAGAGTGAAGGTCTACTTCAGAGCAGGCAGGACAAACCTCTGTGCTTTTGAACCAGTAAAGCCTCTGACAAACAAGCTTTCAAATAGTTTGCTTTGTCAATCACACTTAAAAGTTTCCAGAATGAGAGATACAAGTTTTTTCTTTCTGAAAGTATTTTTTTTGCTTTTTCATATTAAATTATTTGTTTATTGAATTACTTGTTTTTGTTTATTCAAGTCTGCTTTTGTGTCCAAGGTTTTTTTAACAGTGTCAGCTTTGTTCATAAAATTATATTTTTTAAGCAGTCAAGCTTGCTACTGCCTTTGTGGATACATGTTGTCCTTAATCTCAAGGTTCTCCTTCAAATGTCTTTCCAAGCCAAAACTGCATTATCAGGGCCTGTGTTTTTTGGTGGAAGTTTTGCTTCTATTCCTTTCAAGTTCCGTTTTTTGTGGATTAAAAGTATAGCTGTGTGTTCTTCCCAAACTGTGTACAACTTGTTAAATATTTTTATTGCTGTTTCATTATAGCACAGAAGAAGGAGTTTAGTTGTGCTTCTGTTCAGTGTTTAATGAAGTGGTGGTGTTATAGTATAAGGAATGTTTTTGGTAAGCATTCAGAGGAGACAAGGCTCTCCTCCTTACAGATTTTTCACCAACTTATGTTATTCAATGGAAAAAAATCTAATCTTCTAGGGACTTATAAAATTGCTGAAGTGGACTGTGCTTGCTTGTTTTTTTGCTTCTGCCTTTTTCTGTTGCAGCTTGATGGCAGAGAGGAATGCCAGAGCAAGAAACAAACTGAAGTTTTTCTCTGCTGCTTTTTGAAGTATGTGAAGCTGAGGAAAGTGAGGATGGTGAAACAGCACCAAAAAAAAGTAAGCAAAATTTTATTGACCATTGAATACTTTGCACAAACCTAATCACAAATCTGATAACGAGGAGGGTGCAGCACGTGTGGTTTTGTTGTACAGCCCATTTGTCCCTTCACGAGAGCAGCAGCAAAGATTGGCTTTAGTCTACACTCCATGGCAGGTTTCCCATGTCACAGTGTGCTGGGGTTTGTGTTTTCAGCCCTAAACAAAGGTTTATTTTTCTTACCTCTTATTACCTTGGAATAATTCCTCTAAGGACAAGGACAAATATGGTGAGTCTGCCACATGTTCTGTTGCTTCCTTCTGTGAGCACTCAGGAAACATGCTTTATGGCAAGTGCTTATACCGTGATAGTTGCTTGAAAGTATTATCTAGGTGTTAATGTTTTTAAAAGTTGGGTGAGAAGTAATCATAGGCAAGAAACTTCTCTGAGAAAGCATCTCAGAGAAAAAGGCAAAGAGCTGCAAAGAGCAAAGTTCCTCAGACCTGGCTGTGCTGCCACCAGCCCTCATGGCTGATGGCAAGATCAGAGCCAGGGACGCAGCTGTGGGTGGTGGGGGCTCTGCTCACTGCAGCTTTAGGAATTACTCAGTTCCTGAAGTCTCCCAGTGGTGGAAAACAAAGAGACCCTGTGAGGCACAAATACTGTCTGTGCTGGTCTTCTGTGTACTGGCAGCCAAAGCCTAGGGAGGACCATGCTAGTTCTGCAGGGCAGGTCTTCATGGGCAGACTTACTCTACCTGTGATGTAATTTAATCTCTTCAGGAAATCCAGGTCTGCTTTTGGCTGTGCCTGGTGCCTGAAGGATGGGATTTGCCATCACTATTATTATGAGCACCAGGCTTATGGGGCTTCTTCTGTGACCTCGCAATGGGAAGTGCTTCCTGCAGGGTGGAGGGGTTTCCCAGTCAGGGGTTTAGCCCAACGAGATGTTCTATCTGGCCAGGAACACACTGCAAGTCACAATCTTGCAAAGGAAAAAGCATCAAAAAATACTTCATATTTCTGGATGCGACTGCATCAGTAGACAAGTGTCCCATGTCACCAGCACAAGCCCCTGCCCTGAACTTGCCAATGTGAGCATTTACCTTGAATTTTGATGCTAGTATTTCAGATTTGAGCATTGCCCATGAGTGAAAGCATTTACTCCCATATAATAAAATCCCTTTATTTCCATATAAAATCCACCTGTAATGAAAACCATTCTTCACAAGCAAATAGCAAGAAAATAAATAAGTAGCCTCCACCTTATAACTTAAACATCATTAAAATGTGGCTACCAAGGTGTCCTATCCCCTTGCACTGTACCACATGTGCCAGGCAAGTGCCAGCAGGATGACCTTGCTGGGGAGAGCGGGGGGCCTTGGAGCCACACTGGTACCAGCCTCCCTGCACTTGTCTTCACTTGCCAGCTCAAGGGGCATGGTGCAGCCCATCAGGTCCCCTGGGCGGGGGTCATCGAGTCCTGTTGTGCCGTGAGGGCCCAGGAAGGCACAGTCCAGCCCTTCGATCACGGCCCTGCGCGTCACCATCCACTGCCAGAACCAGAGCATCCTGCAGTCGCAGTTCCAGGGGTTCTGGGATAAAAATACGTACTTCAGCTTTGTCAGTCCAGCGAACAAGCGGATGGGGAGGGAACTGAGGTTGTTTTTGCTTAGGTGAACGAAGTGCAGCTTGTGTAAGTATGAAAAAGCAGAGTCTGAGATCAAGGAGACCTGGTTGTTGTTCAGGTACAAGTTTCTCAAGTTGAGCAGATGTCTGAAGGTGCAGTCAACAGCAGTGATTTTGTTGGCTTCAAGGTGCAGGGTCTTGAGCTGGATCAACCCTTCAAAAAGCTGATTAGGCAAATCAGTGATGAAGTTGTGTCCTAAATTTAACATGCCCAATCTGAGGAGCTTTGTGAAAGCGCCATTTTGAATTATCCATATCCGGTTCTTCCTGAGATTCAGATCATACAGCATTTCCAGGTCCTTCAGGGAATCTCTGCCGATGGCTTCTATGTGATTGCCCTCCAGGGACAGCCTCGTGAGGCTGGAGAGGTTGCTAAAGGCTTGTGGGACATACCGCATGTTATTGGAGGCTAAATCGAGGCTCTCCAAAAAAGGCAAGTGTGAAAATAGAAGCGGGTGGATTTCGAAGATATTGCAGTGGGACAAATCCAGGCTGATGAGGTTTAATAGTCCTCTGAAAGTGTTTGCGTGCAGGTTGGTGAGGCGTGAGTTCCTGCTGAG